CAGACAAAATTCTTGTACAAATTTTTTTTCCCTGAAAATATGACAATCATTAGAGAATGTAATTGACAATGTGCAGTGAGAACAGGGTCGGCAATCTTTTGTGAGAATAGAGAGCTGACATGATACTGCCCAACTGATTAATGTAACATTATGGAGGTTAGTAGCCAAAGTTTGAACTGAACTGCAAACAGGCCAGCCCATAACTGCTCGGTTGCTGTGCCAGTGAGAATCAGACACAATATTCGTCACTGCCCCGTTTGAAACTAGTCAGCAAACAATTCATCTCGGCAAAAACCAGAAACACGCACACACATTTACAGAGGAATACTGAAGAAGTTATAAAACATTAAAAACAAAACAAACAGTAAACCATTTCATAGACAATACATATTGTAGAGAAACGTTCGTAAACAAATTAAGCAATTTATATTCACACTACAGCATTTCAGAAATAGATAAATTTGTCATCAGACCAGTTCTAAAACTGATTAAAATATTGGTAGCAATACAATTTCAAAAAAAAATTCTCACAATTAAGATACAAACACACTAATTTAAATTTGTAATTTCAGAAACTGATTAATCACCATGTGCTCCCCCTGACAGCAAAGGTGACCATGGTGATTAATCACCATGTGCTCCCCTTAACAGCAAAGGTGACCATGGTGATTAATCATCATGTGCTCCCCTTGACAGCAAAGGTGACCATGTCTCTTCTCAAATCTAGGTTCTTGGTGTTCTACATCTATTCTATTGATGCTGTTCTTCCATCCTTGACCGGGCATGTGACACAACTGGTTCTTCTACTTCGGCACTGACAGCCCTAGAGGTTCATGGCTGCAGATATCATCTTCCTCCATTCACCTCTGTGACTGGCCCTGTCCTTCCAGTTGGTGACTCCATGTGTTTACAGGTCTGCCTGTATACATAACATGACCCTTGACCAGTGGGGGTCACGGAGGTGTATCGATGGAAGCATTAGAACATAAAACCTGCCATCTTTCTCTGTCTTCCGCTTGATGAATAAGTGTATGATAACTTAGTCCTGACCATTTCTTTATGTTTTCATTCCAGGTTCTTCTTTACCCTCCTCTTCTATGCCTGTATATCTCATCTCCACCTTCCTGTGCAACTCTTTTGTGTAAACAGTTTGCACTTGTTGTCTGTGATCCTCTCTTATTATGTAACAACTGATTTAGTACAATAAACAGATTGCTCAATTCCCAAGATCTTTCTTCAAATTGTTAAAATAAAATAAACTGTTCACTAACTCCGTTTCCTTTGACATTTTCTTCATACTCTGGGTCCAGATTTATTCACACATTTTGAACAAGACAATTTCAGAATATAAACCAATGCACATGTTTTTTTTAAAAACAGAATTGTCAGAATTGATTATTACAAGTGCGCAAACATACAGGCCCTGGTAGCCACAGCCATAAAGAAGACATATATAAATGACTAATGGACACAGGACGGTCAAGGCCAGGGAAAATATGGAATGACAGAATGACAGTTTTAAAACAGTGTTAGAGAAATAAAAGATAAGACTCATGCAATGCATGAAAAAGCACACCCATAAGATTCAAACACAAGAGTAATCAAAGAAATATGAACAGAAGACTACAGTCAGTTTTTTTTAGATGGAAAAGATAAAAGACAGATAAGGGAGTGACAGAACTCAATCACAAAAACTAGGAGTTTCTGAAGGGGACAAAAACGAAGGGTAAGATGCTTGGGTCCCATTTAACATAAGAATTTACTACAAACCATGGTAGCAGGAAAAGGGTTGGGTAAAAAATAGAGAGAGAGATACAAAGAGAGACATACACAGAGTGTGTTTATACTTAGTTAGTTAGTTATTCCTCTTGTGCCAAAGATGGCGCATAGGGCAGAGGTCATAGCTTTCCACGTCTGTCGGTTCTTTGCCACTTGATGTAGGTCTTGAGTGCGACTGAGACCTATGGTTGAGCTCTCCCTTGTGATGGTTCTACGGAGAGTTTCTTTTGGTCTTCCCTGTTTTCTTTTACCCTCTGGTGACCATATGAAGGCTTGGTGGGGAAGTCTCTGTATGTCCATTCTGAGTACGTGACCGTGTTTATACTGAGAACATCTAAACTACAGATGGTGACTAACATCAGTGGTAGAATGAAAGGATCCACTCAATGAATATATATATATATATATATATATATATATATATATATATATATATATATATATATATATATATATATGTATGTATGTATGTATGTATGTATGTATGTATGTATGTATGTATGTATGTGTGTATGTGTGTGTGTGTGTATATGTGTGTGTGTGTGTATGTGTGTCTGTGTGTGTGTGTGAGAGAGAGAGAGAGAGAGAGAGAGAGAGAGAGAGAGAGAGAGAGAGAGAGAGAGAGAGAGAGAGAGAGAGAGAGTGGTGAGTGCATCCAAGGGATAGACTTTGATTTAGTAAACAGTAGAATGAATGGAACTGACCTTGACAGAAAGTACGTCCAAGAGACAAACTTTAATTTAGAAAGAGGTAGAATGAACGAAATTGACCTTGACAGAAAGTACATCCAAGAAAAAGACTTTGATTTAGTAAGAAGTAGAATGAACGGAACTGACCTCGACAGAAAGTACATCCAAAAGACAGACTTTGATTAGGTCAGAAGTAGAATGACTGGATGAAGAAAACCTCAAGTCGTAGGCAGACATTTTTAAACAAAAAAATGCTATAAAAAGAAGATTATAAATAAATTAAAACATTAGTATTCCTGATAATAGTTAGTTGAAATCTAAAATAACGACAGTTGCATGGTCAGTGTATCATGTGACCATCTCTTGTGGTGAGTCAATGATGATTTCTGCAACCAGACTACAGTTACAACTAACTAAGAGTACAGCAGGGCTTTTGAACTGGCGGCCCCTGGGCCATATGTGGACTGGGGAGGCCTAGCAAGTGGCTTGCAGATCACAGCCAGTTGTACTGTATTGTCGAGCTTCCTATGCAGGGGCTCAGCTTCCCCGAGTAAACTTACTTGAATATCCCTGCTCTATATTGTGCACCTTATTCTGAGAGATTTAAAAACACAATTATTCACAATGTAAAAACACTGCAGATGATAATCATGCACTTAATGTAAGAAGCAGCTGTAACACAATCGGTAGAAATACAAGCAATTCACTGTACTGGACTACCTGTTCTGCCAAAGAGTTTTTGAGTTGGATTAATGTTCAAACCAATCTAGCCTCTTTTCATGAGATCATATGATTTGGAATGATTTGCTACGGTTTCTAGTGTGCCTGCATCTTCCACATTTTTCTTTTAGCTTTCTTTCCTTTTGATTTTCTGATATGTCAAAAAATTAGTGTCATTATGCCGATCTACAACTCAGATAGCATTATTCTGTCGATCTACAACTCAGCAAGCTTAACTTTGCCAATCTACAACTGATACCCTTGTGAGCTTTAAGGATGATATTTCCACACATACAGCATTCACCCTAGCTACAGTTCTACATCAAGTTCCCAGCAACTTTTTAACCCTACAGAGACAATTTTGTAGTGAGCACAGCTTTATCTTGGGGAGCCAAACTAGTGCCCACTGGCTTTGTAGCCACATGTTCAAATCCCCACAGAGACATATTTGTAAACCTGGCTGGAGTCCCCTGGTCAGCCCTGCCTAAAAGAAGATGCCAGCTGGTGGCCACTTCTTCTATCAGTCTGCCTGTTCATCAGTTAAAAATACAAGGCTAGCCCTGTATTCCCCAAGATGTGACCAAGATGTGAAAATGGCTCCTTTACTTTGTTAATTACCAACAAAATCATCTAAGCAATAATTGATGCAACAAACACAGGTTAAAAGACAGCACTAATGAAAGATACATATTATGCAGATTCCCAATAAACCTGAAGCTTTTTCTGTTTGTTTCCCGCTTCTGGATTAAACTGCTTACTGATGATCTGACCACTCGTGTGACTTCACGGGCCGCATCCTTGATGACAATCCAACAAGACATCTCAGATAACCCAATCAAAGTCAAAGGAAGTTCTAATGCAGACGCCAGTGATGGCTACAGAAAGTGGATCACCCTGCAGTCATGAATGAGTCAGGGTTGTTGATGCACGTAGGAAGAGATTTCCTTGATTATGTTTAAAAAAAAAAAAAAACTAAGAAAACCCTAGAAAAAAAATGTTACTAACTCATACCATAAATGATTCACATTATTTCAAGGACAGAGAATGAAAAACAAATTGAAACAATTAAATCTAAGTGTGGGCAAAGCATGTCCCAGTAGCCAGCATTGACAGAATCTGACTGTGAGCAAGTTTCAGCATTCTGCATTCAAGGGGTGAAACTGTTGACAGTGACATCCCTTGGTGTTAAAATTTTACTGGACATAAAACCGAAACACTTCTTAGAAAAAATGGGAATAACATCACAATTTTTCCACATCAGGCCTCTCAGACAAACAACCGATGATATCTGTACAATTACAGCTCATGTATGTGCAATATAAAAGGGACAGTTTTTATTCATGACATCTGATTTAATACTCTACATACAACTTATATTCTATTAAAAAAAAAAACAACCCAACAACACACCTCTGTAACTCCCTTTAAAAAAACAAAAAACATACTATGAATATTTATTTGGCTTTTAGCACAGCAATGACAACAATACTGTTACGTTCCAATGACCCATACAAGTTGAAAATCACTTTTTTATTTACAGCATTTCAAACCACAGGTTTGTGAAAACAACAGATGTTTGTAGCTTCACCCCAGCCCTTCGTTATATTACAAACTTCAAGTCATGTAAGATATTTACCTATCATATTTTATAGTAAGACCAAACAGGCATGCTCCATCAGATATCAAATTTATACAATCAAACCAGGTGGTACTTCAGCTGACTCCATTCTCGTAAAATCAAACTTGATGGTAGTTCATTGGCAGCATTCGTGGTCACAAATATTTACACAATGACTAACTGCGCTGTCCGTTTCATAATGAAAGTTGGTCAGCCTTTTTCTTCCGTTCCTCTTTCGACCATTCAACAAACTCATCGAGCATCACCGGCCCTGAAACATTGAAAGATTCCAATGTGAACTATATAATTAAATGTGACGCAAATATGAACAGGAAATGTGACATAAAAATGAACTAAGAAAATGTGACACAAATATAAACAAACAATATGTGTCAAAAATATGACTTAACACATGAAACCAAATGAAATTAACCAATAACATGTAACACAAATATGAACTAATAACACATGACAATAATGTGAATTAAAAAAAAAAAACTGAAAGATTTAAGAGTGAACTATTCATATAACTACAAATAAAATAGAAACAAATAACACTTATATGAACTACTAAAAACATGTGCACTAATATGAGCTATTACACTTGACACAATTAGAAACTAATAACATGTGACACAAATATGAACTAATAACATGTGACACAAATATGAACTAATATCACGTGACACAAATAGGAACTAACATTATGTGACACAAATAGGAACTAACATTATGTGACACAAATAGGAACTAACATTATGTGACACAAATAGGAACTAACATTATGTGACACAAATAGGAACTAACATTATGTGACACAAATAGGAACTAACATTATGTGACACAAATAGGAACTAACATTATGTGACACAAATAGGAACTAACATTATGTGACACAAATATGAACAACAAAAACATACAAGCTCCGTCCTCATCATAATTGTCCAGGCTGGGTTTGATAGTCCTGCTGAACTCCAGGATGTTACACCACTGGTCCTTGTTGATCACTTTATATTTGCTTTGCTGAAACAGACACCCAGAAGCTGTTAGAACACAATATAAACAGACATACAGACAGTCAGAAGCTGTTAGAACACAACATAAACAGACATACAGACAGTCAGAAGCTGTTAGAACACAACATAAACAGACACCCAGACAGTCAGAAGCTGTTAGAACACAACATAAATAGACACACAGACAGTCAGAAGCCGATAGAACATAACGTAAACAGACACACAGACAGTCAGAAGCTGTTAGAACACAACATAAATAGACACACAGACAGTCAGAAGCTGTTAGAACACATCATAAATAGACACACAGACAGTCAGAAGCTGTTAGAACACATCATAAATAGACACACAGACAGTCAGAAGCTGTTAGAAACACATAAACATAGACAACAGACATCAAACTGTTAGAACACACATAAACAGACAGTCAGAAGCTGTTAGAACACAACATAAACAGACACACAGTCAGAAGCTGTTAGAACACAACATAAACAGACATACAGACAGTCAGAAGCTGTTAGAACACAACATAAACAGACATACAGACAGTCAGAAGCTGATAGAACACAACATAAACAGACATACAGACAGTCAGAAGCTGTTAGAACACAACATAAACAGACACCCAGACAGTCAGAAGCTGTTAGAACACAACATAAACAGAAACCCAGACAGTCAGAAGCTGTTAGAACACAACATAACCACAACAGTCAGACAACATAAACAACAGTCAGAAGCTTAGAACACACAACATAAACAGACACAGACAGTCAGAAGCTGTTAGAACACAACATAAACAGAAACCCAGAACAGTTAGAACACAACGTAAACAGACCCAGTCAGAAGCTGTTAGAACACAACGTAAACAGACACCCAGTCAGAAGCTGTTAGAACACAACATAAACAGAAACCCAGACAGTCAGAAGCTGTTAGAACACAACATAAACAGAAACCCAGACAGTCAGAAGCTGTTAGAACACAACATAAACAGACACACAGTCAGAAGCTGTTAGAACACAACATAAACAGAAACCCAGACAGTCAGAAGCTGTTAGAACACAACATAAACAGACACCCAGACAGTCCTGTTAGAACACAGTCAGACAGTCAGAAGCTGTTAGAACACAACATAAACAGACACCCAGACAGTCAGAAGCTGTTAGAACACAACATAAACAGACACCCAGACAGTCAGAAGCTGTTAGAACACAACATAAACAGACACCCAGACAGTCAGAAGCTGTTAGAACACAACATAAACAGACACCCAGACAGTCAGAAGCTGTTAGAACACAACATAAACAGACACCCAGACAGTCAGAAGCTGTTAGAACACAACATAAACAGACACCCAGACAGTCAGAAGCTGTTAGAACACAACATAAACAGACACCCAGACAGTCAGAAGCTGTTAGAACACAACATAAACAGACACACAGACAGTCAGAAGCTGTTAGAACACAACAGAAACAGACACAGAGCACACAACATAAACAGACACCCAGACAGTCAGAAGCTGTCAGAACACAACATAAAGACACCCAGACAGTCAGAAGCTGTTAGAACACAACATAAATAGACACCCAGACAGTCAGAAGCTGTTAGAACACAACATAAACAGACACACAGTCAGTCAGAAGCTGTTAGAACACAACGTAAACAGACACTTAGACAGTCAGAAGCTGTTAGAACACAACATAAACAACCACAAGAAAAGTCAGAAATTGTTAGAACACAACATAAACAGGCACACAGAAAGTGAGAAACTGTTAGAGCACAACATAAACAGGCACACAGAAAGTGAGAAACTGTTAGAGCACAACATAAACAGGCACACAGAAAGTGAGAAACTGTTAGAGCACAACACATAAACAAGGAAAGACAGAAACTTGTTAGAGCACAACATAAACAGACAGTCAGAAACTCTTAGAGCACAACATAAACAGACAGTCAGAAACTTGTTAGAGCACAGCATAAACAGACAGTCAGAAACTCTTAGAGCACAACATAAACAGACAGTCAGAAACTTGTTAGAGCACAACATAAACAGACAGTCAGAAACTCTTAGAGCACAACATAAACAGACAGTCAGAAACTCTTAGAGCACAACATAAACAGACAGTCAGAAACTCTTAGAGCACAACATAAACAGACAGTCAGAAACTCTTAGAGCACAACATAAACAGACAGTCAGAAACTCTTAGAGCACAACATAAACAGACAGTCAGAAACTCTTAGAGCACAACATAAACAGACAGTCAGAAACTCTTAGAGCACAACACATAAACAGACAGTCAGAAACCTGTTAGAGCACAACACATAAACAAGGAAAGTCAGAAACTTGTTAGAGCACAACATAAACAGACAGTCAGAAACTCTTAGAGCACAACATAAACAGACAGTCAGAAACTCTTAGAGCACAACACATAAACAAGGAAAGTCAGAAACTGTTAGAGCACAACATAAACAGACAGTCAGAAACTCTTAGAGCACAACACATAAACAAGGAAAGTCAGAAACTGTTAGAGCACAACACATAAACAAGGAAAGTCAGAAACTGTTAGAGCACAACACATAAACAAGGAAAGTCAGAAACTGTTAGAGCACAACACATAAACAAGGAAAGTCAGAAACTGTTAGAGCACAACACATAAACAAGGAAAGTCAGAAACTGTTAGAGCACAACACATAAACAAGGAAAGTCAGAAACTGTTAGAGCACAACATAAACAGACAGTCAGAAACTCTTAGAGCACAACACATAAACAAGGAAAGTCAGAAACTGTTAGAGCACAACACATAAACAAGGAAAGTCAGAAACTCTTAGAGCACAACACATAAACAAGGAAAGTCAGAAACTTTTAGAGCACAACATAAACAGACAGTCAGAAACTCTTAGAGCACAACACATAAACAAGGAAAGTCAGAAACTGTTAGAGCACAACACATAAACAAGGAAAGTCAGAAACTCTTAGAGCACAACACATAAACAAGGAAAGTCAGAAACTGTTAGAGCACAACACATAAACAAGGAAAGTCAGAAACTGTTAGAGCACAACACATAAACAAGGAAAGTCAGAAACTGTTAGAGCACAACACATAAACAAGGAAAGTCAGAAACTGTTAGAGCACAACATGAACTTGCACACAGCAAGTGAGCAGAGCAGAACACTATCCCACAGAAATTGAGAAGCTGTTCAGTCTACAGAGTGGCTGCTTGTCAAAGTATTAATCATCAGCTTTTGTTGTTGGGTGATGGAACTTATCTATACTTACTACAGTATAATGGTACCTTGGCTGTAGCGTTAGAGTTCCTGCAAATACTTCTACTGTCTACACAATTGATTAGCCAAAAGGACCTCTCTGTGTGTGTGTGTGTGGAAAAAAAGGGGGGGGGGGGGGGGTTGTCCCATGGGTTTACTGCCCCCTTATCTGAGCCTTTCCAGGGTGCAAAGATGAAGTCTGATGCACCGATGTTCGAGATGTCTGAAATAGGCTTGCATCTAGATTGGTGAAGAGACTATTTCTTACATGAATTTTTTTTTTCTTTTTCTTAACTTGAAATCAAAAACTGAATCTCCATAGGGACTAAACTGCAGAGCTCCCTTTCACCCCTCTATGCCCAGAAAGCAGCAAGGTGTACCAGACTTATACTGAACTTCATATTTGTAGCGAGGCATATTAGGGTATAATCAGATCATTATTCGTCACGGCACATACAAGGCTATTTGAGACAAGCCGACTTCTTCACAGGTTTCAGGCATTTCATAGTCAACAAACTTCAATACAGTGCTCAGGAAAATTAACAATGTACAGAAAACACAATTGACAGAAACTTGGGTAAATGTATAAGTTAAAATTCTTACCTCTAAAAACTGATGGAAAGAAGAGAAGAGAGGCCAGCTTTTCCCTAATACCAATGACAGCATGGCTTTAGCTGTGTCAATATCCATACATCTTTGGTCTTTTTCCTGGGGGGAAGCGAAGAAAAGAGAAAACCTGATCATAATAAAACAATGATATCTTTGCACTGGAATCCACAGGGTCAAGGGAATTAAAAAAAAAAATTTAAAACAAAAACAACATGGTGACAGGAAGTAGAGAATAAAGTTTTGAGTTTGAATCCCTCTCAAATCCAACCACAAAGGCTAAGCTGGTGAACAAATACTGGATGAAGTCAGCTAAAGGGCCCAAGTATCACAGCTATGCTGTAAACAGACCCAATACGATTACCTCACTCAGACACACCGGAAAGAAGAAGAATCATTACCCAGGCAATGTTGGAATCTAGGCTCTGCGCAAATTAATTAGCTCGGCTATATAGCAGCAAGATTCTCAGAATATCATGGACAAAGAAGATAAGAACACTAAAAGATCTGAACATCAAGGGAGATTAGCTAATAAACAGCACAGCATCTTTTCTTGGAAGCTGAAATATTTTAGTCACATTAAGTGCCACAGCGGATGGGAAACAAAATAAGAGCAGGAGGCATGGCACTAGGAAAGATAGGCAGGGGTCGAAGAGAAAGAAGGAGGACACAGGATCTAAGTGATTCCTCAAGTGTATGGGTGCACGAGGCATGACAGTTGGCTAGAGACTGAGTTTCTTCAGATCGTGACGAGAGCAATGTTCTGCAAAGAACCTGTTACAAGAAGATGATGATGATAATATAGCAGCAGTGGCTAGCACTTTTGCCTGCCAGCACTGTGGTTGCAAATATAGATTTCTGGGCTCCCAGGTTAACCTAGCCTAAGATGAATACAAATAAATGTGTTTAGAGCTAAAACAGCATGACAAGGAGGACACATCTATGGAAGTGATAGATTAGAAAAACATCACTGTCCCATTGGGATGAGAATCTAAACCCTCCGATTTCAGAGACAAGTATTCTAATACTTGACCCCTTTACAAATGCTTTTCCCCTGTCTATGACAACCTCTTATTATCATCAATGATGACTGAAGATGGGAGTGGACAATCACAACTGTCCACATCTTGCATCCATGCCCTCTGAGCTTTTAAATTTTTACTTCACTCTCTAGTTTCTTTCGTGGGTTCGTTGGCATGCCTTTATTCCTCCGACTCTGAAGGTTCCAATGCAAAGACATTCTAGTTATGTTTTCTCAACGTGTGTCTTATCTAACACCAGCTTCTGTTAGTCACCTCTTTTCACTGGATCTCTATTTAGTTCTCTCCCAAAGATCCAGATCAGTGATTATATCATACAAATTATTTCCCCAGTTGCTGGCTTTCAAAAGATGTGTTCTACTTATCTGGATCGCCAAGAAATTGTAAACAGAATTCACAGCTATATTTCAAACTCATTTAATATCTTCTTTGTGTTCATCCGAAGATGTCAATGCCCTGTGTCCATTTACAATATGTGATCTTCACACCTTTCGGTAGGCAAATCCAACTTCTGCAGACGTTGTGCAGGTTAGCTTTCTCAGGATTCAATATAACAGGCCACATTTCGTTTTCTACCCTCCATGACACAACATAATGCATAAAATGTTTACAAATGCTGTATTTTCCCACACAAATTGTAACCAACAGTAGGCAGATGAAAGAAAACCAGTTACTGCAGAGTTTACCTACACTTACCCTGGCAAAGTCAAATGCAAATCTGTAGATATTTTTAAAAATTGGAGGCTCATTTAGCAAAGCCCTTAGGTAGTCTAGTCTGTTCTGTAGCTTCTCAATGGTATCACACCTGAAAGTAAATGATCCAGAAAACAGTAAGAAGTAATATCACACCTGAAAGTAAATGATCCAGAAAACAGTAAGAAGTAATATCACACCTGAAAGTAAATGATCCAGAAAACAGTAAGGAAGTAATATCACACCTGAAAGTAAATGATCCAGAAAACAGTAAGAAGTAATATCACACCTGAAAGTAAATGATCCAGAAAACAGTAAGAAGTAATATCACACCTGAAAGTAAATGATCCAGAAAACAGTAAGGAAGTAATATCACACCTGAAAGTAAATGATCCAGAAAACAGTAAGAAGTAATATCACACCTGAAAGTAAATGATCCAGAAAACAGTAAGGAAGTAATATCACACCTGAAAGTAAATGATCCAGAAAACAGTAAGAAGTAATATCACACCTGAAAGTAAATGATCCAGAAACAGTAAGGAAGTAATATCACACCTGAAAGTAAATGATCCAGAAAACAGTAAGAAGTAATATCACACCTGAAAGTAAATGATCCAGAAAACAGTAAGAAGTAATATCACACCTGAAAGTAAATGATCCAGAAAACAGTAAGGAAGTAATATCACACCTGAAAGTAAATGATCCAGAAAACAGTAAGAAGTAATATCACACCTGAAAGTAAATGATCCAGAAAACAGTAAGGAAGTAATATCACACCTGAAAGTAAATGATCCAGAAAACAGTAAGAAGTAATATCACACCTGAAAGTAAATGATCCAGAAAACAGTAAGAAGTAATATCACACCTGAAAGTAAATGATCCAGAAAACAGTAAGAAGTAATATCACACCTGAAAGTAAATGATCCAGAAAACAGTAAGAAGTAATATCACACCTGAAAGTAAATGATCCAGAAAACAGTAAGAAGTAATGTCACACCTGAAAGTAAATGATCCAGAAAACAGTAAGAAGTAATGTCACACCTGAAAGTAAATGATCCAGAAAACAGTAAGAAGTAATGTCACACCTGAAAGTAAATGATCCAGAAAACAGTAAGAAGTAATGTCACACCTGAAAGTAAATGATCCAGAAAACAGTAAGGAAGTAATATCACACCTGAAAGTAAATGATCCAGAAAACAGTAAGAAGTAATGTCACACCTGAAAGTAAATGATCCAGAAAACAGTAAGAAGTAATATCACACCTGAAAGTAAATGATCCAGAAAACAGTAAGAAGTAATATCACACCTGAAAGTAAATGATCCAGAAAACAGTAAGGAAGTAATATCACACCTGAAAGTAAATGATCCAGAAAACAGTAAGGAAGTAATATCACACCTGAAAGTAAATGATCCAGAAAACAGTAAGAAAGTAATATCACACCTGAAAGTAAATGATCCAGAAAACAGTAAGGAAGTAATATCACACCTGAAAGTAAATGATCCAGAAAACAGTAAGGAAGTAATATCACACCTGAAAGTAAATGATCCAGAAAACAGTAAGAAGTAATATCACACCTGAAAGTAAATGATCCAGAAAACAGTAATGGAGTAATATCACACCTGAAAGTAAATGATCCAGAAAACAGTAAGAAGTAATATCACACCTGAAAGTAAATGATCCAGAAAACTGTAATGGAGTAATATCACACCTGAAAGTAAATGATCCAGAAAACAGTAAGGAAGTAATATCACACCTGAAAGTAAATGATCCAGAAAACAGTAAGGAAGTAATATCACACCTGAAAGTAAATGATCCAGAAAACAGTAAGGAAGTAATATCACACCTGAAAGTAAATGATCCAGAAAACAGTAAGGAAGTAATATCACACCTGAAAGTAAATGATCCAGAAAACAGTAAGGAAGTAATATCACACCTGAAAGTAAATGATCCAGAAAACAGTAAGGAAGTAATATCACACCCGACAGTAAATGATCCAGAAAACAGTAATGGAGCAATGTCACACCTGAAAGTAAACGATCCAGAAAACAGTAAGGAAGTAATCTTCCTGCTACAAGGAATACTGGGTAAATGGAGTTAGCCCTGTAAATTTTTTAAACCAATCAGTATTTGATAGATGATGTCAATGCCCAGTTTGCCACCTTTACTCCTCCCCAGGGATCCCTTGTAGGCGTAGACCCACGGCTCCTTAACAAGTATGCTGTTTCTTTTAAAGTTGAAGTGCCTCCACCTGAGAGTAAGGAACCAACAGTCGGCATACAAAAAAAAGCTGGATCTGTAAAACGGATGTGCACATAAATCTCAAATTCTGCTGTATTGTAGGTCACAACCGGCCAATGCTAAGAAGAAGAAGTCACCTTGACCTTCCAGGACAATATCTGGTAACCAAGTTAGGCTGGGCTGACCTGGGGAAACCAGATTATCTGTTACAAATGCACCTTGATGGGGATTAAAACATCCAACTACCAGGCAAGCACGCAAGGGAAACTAACCATTGTACTATTTCAGTTGCCATCCTCAATGTACACAAATGTCAAGTAACATTCAGAAGAAGAAAAAAAGGCCTCAAAACAGGATTACTCCTTCATCGGTACTTCAAACCTCTAAGAGTCGAGATACTTCCAGCTATTAGATGAACGCATTGTATCCAGACAGAGTATCTGTATTTCAGCGGAATGTATTCAGCCTGTGTTGATGTAACTCTGTAATAATGCTCCTGATGAGATACAGTGAAATATGTCTGACAATAAATTGTGCAAGGCACTATCGGTAATTGCTGCATTATTAACCCGCATCCCAAATAAAAAAACTGGGGTTGTTAGGAAAGGGCGAGAAAGGAGGGGGAGGGGAGGGGGTGGTGGTGTGTCCTGGGGAGACTAAGCCCATGTGATAAAACCTAGTGCAATGAAGTCAGCCCTCTCAAATTTTAATGCAGAGAAAAAGCCACACACATCTGTGCGCTTCTTCTTAATGTCCTCTTTTGACCGCTTCAGGTGTTGAGAGAGATATACGGTTGTGTTTCTTGCTCTTTTGACCGCTTCAGGTGTTGAGAGAGATATACGGTTGTGTTTCTTGCTCTTTTGACCGCTTCAGGTGTTGAGAGAGATATACGGTTGTGTTTCTGGCTCTTTTGACCACTTCAGGTGTTGAGAGAGATATACGGTTGTGTTTCTGACTCTTTTGACCACTTCAGGTGTTGAGAGAGATATACGGTTGTGTTTCTTGCTCTTTTGACCGCTTTAGATGTTGAGAGAGATATACGGTTGTGTTTCTTGCTCTTTTGACCGCTTCAGGTGTTGAGAGAGATATACGGTTGTGTTTCTTGCTCTTTTGACCGCTTCAGGTGTTGAGAGAGATATACGGTTGTGTTTCTTGCTCTTTTGACCACTTCAACCAGACACAAGGTGCTGTTGTAAAATTTCCCTGATGCTATGTTTCCATCTTGTTCTTGGTCAACTTTTTGCTTCACTCCCTACTCCTCTTTTGGTGTATGCTTTGTGCTGATGTCTGAAATCGGCAAGACTGAATGTTAGCCATGCTGGCGTAGTAATAAGTGTTCTTTCCTGTTAACGCAGTGGTTCGGGTTCCATTCTAAGTAGTGGCACTTTTTTCTCCAGGCTTGCGAAAGGGGGTACCATCTTTGTCTGCCTTCCACCTTCTAATGGATCAATTGCCCTCAACAAAATCAGACCAGACACTTCATGTTAAAGATTCACTGGATCTTGCAGTGCCATATTTGTTTTTAATTATAACAACATAGCAAGACTACAATAAAGCAAATGTGGGAGGCAAATGTGCCAGAGGAAAATTAAATTTTATGATGACTGATTACATGTTAAGACGACAAGTTTCCAGCACTTACTGTAATTCTGTCATTCCCATCATCCACTCATCGTAGGTGAAGAACCCCAAGTTTTTTGCACCAAGCTTGAAGGCAATCACCAACATGACAATCTGAACAAACAAAGTTTGAGGCAATCACCAACATGATATTCTGAACAAACAAAGTTTGAGGCAATCACCAACATGACAATCTGAACAAAGTTTGAGGCAATCACCAACATGATATTCTGAACAAACAAAGTTTGGGGCAATCACCAACATGATATTCTGAACAAAGTTTGAGGCAATCACCAACATGACAATCTGAACAAACAAAGTTTGAGGCAATCACCAACATGACAATCTGAACAAACAAAGTTTGAGGCAATCACTAACATGATGATCTAAACAAAGTTTGAGGCAATCACCAACATGATGATCTAAACAAAGTTTGAGGCAATCACCAACATGACAATCTGAACAAACAAAGTTTGAGGCAATCACCAACATGACAATCTGAACAAACAAAGTTTGAGGCAATCACCAACATGACAATCTGAACAAACAAAGTTTGAGGCAATCACCAACATGATAATCTGAACAAAGTTTGAGGCAATCACCAACATGATAATCTGAACAAAGTTTGAGGCAATCACCAACATGACAATCTGAACAAAGTTTGAGGCAATCACCAACATGATAATCTGAACAAAGTTTGAGGCAATCACCAACATGACAATCTGAACAAAGTTTGAGGCAATCACCAACATGATAATCTGAACAAAGTTTGAGGCAATCACCAACATGACAATCTGAACAAAGTTTGAGGCAGTCACCAACATGACAATCCGAAAAAAGAAAGTTTGAGGCAATCACCAACATGATAATCTGAACAAACAAAGTTTGAGGCAATCACCAACATGATAATCTGAACAAAGTTTGAGGCAATCACCAATGATAATCTAAACAAAGTTTGAGGCAATCACCAACATGATAATCTAAACAAAGTTTGAGGCAATCACCAACATGACAATCTGAACAAACAAAATTCATTTTTATCACGGCTTCAGCAATTTTATCTGGATACACAATTTATAATGTTAAGCATTTTGTTCTGTAAAAATTCTTAAAGCGACCTTATTCAAAATTTCACTTAAAAGATACTTATGGTTATAATTCTCTGCAACGCTATCTTATCAAACTAGAGAAAGAGAACAAGCAGCAGAATAAACGTGGAGCCTTGGTCGGCTTTTAAAAATCTCTGGGGGTTGAAAACTAAGATCACAGAGGAGACAGGTAGACCTGCTAGCCAGCTGTTACATCACTACCCTCAAGTCACTATAGAGAGGTATTTCTCATATTAAGAGTCATTATACTGGACAAAAGTGATTTGTATTCTGTTAAAATTTTTTTAAATGAATGTAAGTAATCATTAAATACCAATGGAGCAAAGAAATAACTGTTTTTCTCCTCTTCGACAAAAATGTGTTTTTTTAACACAGCCACAGATCATCATAAGTTAATTACAATGCCATAATTACACATACAAAAAGATTTTTCTGTAAATCCCTGCGACCCCCCCCCCCCCCCCCAGCACACACAAAATAATCAAAGGTAGATTTTGGGGTCAGAGGGTGGGACTGGGTCTACACATTAAGCAGTTACCAGCAATGAAAGTGTAATATGGTCAGTTTGACCACTGCCCAAGGACATCATGCCATCAAAGAGTCAGAAAACTAGCTATCTCTAGATAACAGGGTTAACATAGTTTGTTTCCTTACAGCCACATCTTATTGCAGTAGTGGCTGTATAGAACCTGCTATCTCATATACTGTCAATAATTTTGGATTTGGATATTTTTTCATGCCATGAAATCAATAAGTCCAACATCTTTCCTCTAGCATGTATGTCATTAAAGACAAATTTTATTAGGGAATATTATAAATAAGGGGAATATTAACAAGTGTGTAGAAATGACCATGATTAAGGGTGTTTAACCGTAATGAAAATCCTACATTTTCTGGCTCCACGCCGATGTCTTCACAAAACTTTTCCATTCCTTCTGGACCCAGGACGTCCTCATTTGGCGCTGTCAAATAATGAAAAACTAATATGAATACATTAAGAAGGGAGATTTTAATAACTCATAAATTAATATGAATACATTATGAAGGGAGATTTCAATAACACATAAATGACTGTGTGGCCACAATAAACTAACTTTGCACTGTGTAGGGAATTGTTCAATAACACATCATTTACTGTGCGGCCACACTTCAGTAACCTCATTTCATGTAAGGACCCTTTTCCAGGCCTTTAGGCGTATCTGGCATAGAGGGCTAGACATACATTTTATAGACCAATCAGCACTTGATGGGTGATGTGGTCGGCATCACACCAGCCGCTTTTACTTTCCAGAACTTTTTCCAGGTAGGTACGTAAAGCTGGGTAAACCTGGGAACCAAGGTCAGTTTTGAAAAAAAAGTCCACCACCGCCTGGCTTTGAACCCATGACCTTCATAAACACATTTCAAAGAAAAAAGTTAAGATCTATTTTCATGCCTTAGGCGCATCGGGCATATGGGAAGAGCACCAATATTTTTACAGACCAGTTGGCACTAGTTGGGTAATGTGGTCAGCATTTCGCCGGCCGTCTTTACTTCCCCAGGACATACATCCTGGTATCCATTTTAAGCTGGGTCGACCTGCGACGCCCCATAGCATGATAAAAATCCACACAGCCAGCAGTGGGTTTCGATTGCAGTATGTTTGAATTACGAGTCGGACTCGCAACCACTAAGCCACGGATGCCACCATGAATACATTACATAGGGAAAGAGTTCAATAACACATAATTTATTGTCTGGCAATACTGACTGACTGACTTTCTACCCCACCAGGACATCACACAAGCGATAAACACCCGATGACACACAGTTCCACCATGTGGATGAGGATCACCGTGGAGAGGTCCCAGAAACCGCGTTCAGACAATTGGCCATATTGATGGCCTGCCTATATTGCGGCCCCTGGCAAAAGCCAGAGTGGGGCTTCAAATAAGAAAAAATTACGTCCTAAAAAGGACGTAAGAGAAAATGCCAGTACTGTCTATCTGGCAATACTACAGTGACTTTATCTTGTGTGTGAACAGTAAATAGCCTCTTTCTTCATCTCAAAACAAATGACCATATGTTGTAGGTCCCACATTTTTATCAGCACTTGATGATGAATAAATTAATCAGCCACCTTTACTTTAAAAGACATTTCCTGTTACAAATTATTAGACTGCCAATTTATCAAATCCACAATAATGGGATTCCAACAATGGCCTTCATGCCAGCATAGAAATGATAACCAAGAGACAAATAACCGCATAGAAAGAATGTTTTACCTGTGTACTCGTGAAACCAAGAAACACAACACTTTTTGCTGAATTCTGTCGGGACTTCTTTCTTCAAACTGCACAAGAAAATAATGAAACACAGCCAGTTTAACGCTAGCATTTCACCTGAAGGTTCTTTATTAATATCCAACCCCAGATGACGGACGTCACAGGATAGTCCAACATTTTAGAGGGTGGTAAGACTGGGTTTCCCGGCTTTCTAATGTTTTTAACAACCCCAAAACATCTAGAACTGGCCCTAACCCCAACCTACCTTTGTCTTACGAGAGAGTGCAGCCTAGGTCCCACAAGAGAGTGCAGCCTAGGTCCCACAAAAGAGTGCAGCCTAGGTCCCACGAGAGAGTGCAGCCTAGGTCCCACAAGAGAGTGCAGCCTAGGTCCCACAAGAGAGTGCAGCCTAGGTCCCACAAGAGAGTGCAGCCTAGGTCCCACGAGAGAGTGTAGCCTAGGTCCCATGAAGACTGGTAGGAAAATCTATGAATATGTTCTCCACTCTTTAGTCATGCTAAAAAACTGATTCTTTAGAAGATGATGTAGTGGTTTTCACTTACAGTAAATGGAAGAGAATGCGTGGCCTCATCATATACAATACCCAATGACAGTAACAAGTTGACATGAGTTAGGAACTGACATTACAGCAATTGGAACATTCCCATAAGCACTCTGTCCCAATCTTCAGCAGCCAGAGCAGAGTCAAGTAAGACTATACGCCCCTTTTGTCCTTCCCCTGAGTTTAGACAGTCAAACAGATCCGTTGGTAAACCCCCACAGCAGTATTCTCTCCCAGCTGATACACATATCTAGTATGGCAATCTCCATTTTGTAGACAACAGAAAACGTTTTCCCATATACACCCTCAATCTGAAGCCACTGGAAGAAGTAGGATGCCAAGCTAGGTATATGCCGTGTATATACGCAACCCTACTGAGAATAATCAAAAGTTCAAGTTGCCACACCCTATTACATGACTACTCAACTGGCATGCTGATCACTGCTGACTGTATTGTATTAATAATTTTTTCCACTCCTAGGCTCTGGTGGTCTGGGATGATACTATTTTCAATTGTTTGGCCTCTGGGTAAATGTAGCCGAATAATCCAGCCCTATTATATCACATTAAATCCAAGTGACAATTTTCACACCTTATTTTCACCTGGGTTCAAGTCAAAAAAAGGCTACTGCATGCCCTGGCTCTGCAAAGTTTCTGGCAACTTTTCACACAGCAGGGTATGATAGCTTTTATCCATGCCCAAACTGTAGCAGTTGAACATCTAAACATGCCGATACAGGCCCTGGCTCTGCAAAGTTTCTGGCAACTTTTCACACAGCAGGGTATGAGAGCTTTAATCCATGATTAACCTGTAGCAGTTTAACATCTAAACATGCCAATACAGGCCCTGGTTCTGCCAGATTTCTGACAGGTGTGTTTCACACAATATGGCATTAGAGCTTTCAACATTTTCCCACACCTTCAGGTGTACTGGGTATATATAGTGCTAGACCTATTTTATAGACCAATTGGCACTCATTGGGTAATGTCAACAACACCATGCCAGCCACCTTTACTTCCCAGGACTTCCCCTCGTACCCACTCAAGACTGGGTCAATCTGGGAACAAAGGTTATTTAAATATGATGTCATGCTAATTGATGTGAACAAACATTACATGATGCTAAAAAACAAACATATGATGTCATACTAACTGATGTGAACAAACATTACAACATGTTAAAAAACATATGATGTCATACTAATTGATGTGAACAAACATTACAACATGTTAAAAAACATATGATGTCATACTAATTGATGTGAACAAACATTACAACATGTTAAAAAACATATGATGTCATACTAATTGATGTGAACAAACATTACAACATGTTAAAAAACATATAATGTCATACTAATTGATGTGAACAAACATTACATGTTAAAAAAACACTTATGATGTCATGCTAACTGATGTGAACAAACATTACTTGTTTAAAAAACATATGATGTTATACTAACATGCGATGTCATACCAACTGATGTGAAAAAACATATGATGTCATACTAACTGATGTGGAAAAAACATATGATGTTATACTAACTGATGTAAACAAACATATGATGTCATACTAACTGATGTGAGCAAACATATGATGTTATACCAACTGATGTGAAAAAACATATGATGTCATACTAACTGATGTGAAAAAACATGATGTTATACTAACTGATGTGAACAAACATATGATGTCATACTAACTGATGTGAACAAACATATGATGTCATACTAACTGATGTGAACAAACATATGATGTCCTACTAACTGATGTGAGCAAACATATGATGTCATACTAACTGATGTGAGCAAACATATGATGTCCTACTAACTGATGTGAACAAACATATGATGTCCTACTAACTGATGTGAGCAAACATCTGATGTCATACTAACTGATGTAAACAAACATGTGATGTCCTACTAACTAATGTGAGCAAACATATGATGTCATACTAACTGATATGAACAAACATATGATGTCATACTAACTGATGTGAACAACTCTTCTTGGCAGCAGTAGCCTCATTGCTCGCTGGTTCTCGTCTCCTCCGGCGGGAAGGCATGATGTTGAATGGATTATGGAAGAACTGGATTCCCTGAGGAGAGCCCGAAGCCTGCTCCTGAACGCTCAGGGTCTGTGAATGAATATAGCACAATATAAATATACTTCTCTCCCCCCATCTTTCAGGGAAAGGGTGTCACAAATATGACTTTCCAGCTCTAGGTTTGCGAAGCAACACTGCACAGTAAAAAATAAAGTGGTACCCTGATTTATGAACAACACCAAATACCTATACAAACACTTCAAGATACAAACTTTTATCATATCTCATTTTGACTTTTACATACGAGCCTAGATTTCAGAAATGAACCATGATGCACTGCGCATGTTTGATGTTAGTTATCTGGATTATGATGCAACAATTGGTGTATGTGACACATGCTGTGCCTACATGTTTCAGTTTATACATGGTACCTGCAAGGGGCATTATGGACAAAATTTAAATTATTACTCAGATATTGTGTATCATTTCTCCTATGGACCAAAGAAAACTAAAAATAAAATTAAAAAAAAAGAAAAAGATTGCAGATAAATGAGAAAGGATTCAGGCAAATTGATTTGTGCAAGCAGTGTGACTTGTCCAGGCCTACCATAACTACAGTTCTCATGAAAGCAGATTTCTGTAAGGAACTGGAAGTGGCCAAAAACAGTATCTATTGTGTCATCTCGAAAAAGAAAAAGTTATAAATCGCAGAACGCGACATCCACTACCAGTAGCAAAGACATCGGCGAAGAGTTTAAAAACTAGCAAAGATCGTGTGAGAATGTCAAGAACAGAAGCAGTATTCATAGTGTTGTTAAACATGGAGAATGTAGCACAGCAGTATTCTCCGTTGCGTATGTTGATGTCACACCCAGGTTCGTCGTTAGGTCTGCTACAGACGGAGTCGACTGGAAGATTATAGACGAGGAGAAAAATGGTTGTGTCGATAGTGGCGATGATGATGTCTTACTATCTGCATGCTTCTCACGTCTTTATAGTAATATCTCAGCAATGTCACAAATAACATCATTGAATTTCTAAAAGGCCCTGTGATCTCTCTATTGTTACATACTCTTGAGGTTGCGTTGTGTTCTTCATCTCTAGTTACTTTGTTAACTGGTTCTAGTGTCTGTAACTGCCACCTGGCTTCTAGTGCTGTTTAGTACTAACGGCTTGATTGTTGACTCTAATATCTCTATAGTTTCCTACCTAATGAGTCTCTGTTAACCATAGATCCATGTATCTTGTGTGTGTCTGTAGTTCCTTGTCTCGTTTCATGTCTCTTCTCTAGTGACTGTCTTCGAGGCTGCATATGACTGGCTCCTCTCCTTCTAGTGTTGAATAGGCATCTCCACAACTGCGAGGATCATTGAGACTAGTCGCTTGTCCTCTGAGTCTCAACAACTGAAGGCATTCTTTGAGGATCAACATGACTGGTCCCTCCTCTCTTGAGTCTCTTGGACTGAAGAATTACTCTGAGTGGATTCTTACCCATTATTTTTTCTTGGTTGCTGGAATGCTAGTTATTTGTTTTCTTCTCACTTTTTCTGCTTCTGGAATATTCCAGTACGTCTCAACTTGTTTACTATGTATGTTCTCACGTGGGATTTCTAATTATATCTTGATTGCATCAGATTTCATCATCTTTTTCTGCATAACTATAGTAGTTAAATTGACAGCTGTTCTCATAGAAGCTTCTAGAAAACAGATATAATTGCGTTCACAATGACGTGAAATACTATTTACAGATTATTCATTTGCAAAACATTTCTCTCTTAATAACAAACAAAGTTTCTAGAAAAGAATGTCAAGGCTGCCAAAACTTGTTGATTTTCAGTACATCATAACTTTGTGACTCCTAACAAACAAGCTATGACCTTACTCTGTTACAAGAAGGTGTTAGTGTTGTTAGGGCTTTTCTTGAAAAAACATGCCTATGAGAACATTTATCAGTAAAGAGGAAATGGCACTGATAGGGCATAAGCCGATGGAAGATGACATCTTTGCTCTTCTGTATCAAAACCAGTGGGGATCTCAAGATGAAACCTGTTGGTTTATCTCTGAAAATCCTAGTCTATAGAAAGTTAACAGACACAAACTGAATTTCATAAAATACGTTTATAATTTCGAACTCAAAAAATATTAGTGTTACAGGTATTTACAAGCACAAATGCTTTCAATTTTAAAACTGATTTATGCCTCTCTTGACCCCCCCCCCCCAACTTAGAAATTACTAAGGCATGGGCTATCATCAGAGGACAATGTTCTGTACAAAATCCCTTTTTATTTTGGAATTTAAACCCAACTTTTAAGCCAGGGGCAAATACTGTGAACTCTTAAACTTCTACTTCTTCAACATTCCGACCCCTTGAAGTTCATTACTGCAGATATCACCCGCCTGCACTCATTTCTTTGGCTGGCCTTCTCTTTCCAGTTGGTGATTCAAGTGTTTATAGGATGGTCTGGATATTATCTCTCCATCTTCTTGGTTTGACTCATGGACTAAGATTATTCAACTCCCTTGTGTACAGTTTTTACTTCTGTCATCTGACGTTCTCTCAATAAGCCCCAACCATTTCAGTCTATCAGCTCTCAAAATGGTGGTGATCAATGGTGATTTCAACAGATTTATAATTTTGTTGTTGCTTCTCACTCTCCATTCACCGCTGCATCCATCTTTGATGGGTCCAAAGATTGGTTTTAGGACTCTATTTTGAAAAATCTGTAACAAAGCTTCATCTCTTTTAGTTGTGCTCCAAGTTTTATGTTGCAAGACAGAGACTTTGACTTTAGCAGATGTTGAAGGACACAGTATACTTCTTTTTCAGACTGTTCTAGATTTTTTTCTTCTCCTATCATAGTGGAGCAGCTGAATTTTATTTTGAACTCTTCATCTCACTGCTTAAAAATACATACTGAGTCAGAAGCAGAGATATTATAGTCACAAGGTTCTGTCTGTGTTTTCTGCATGCAATATGTTTTCTGGATGTAATATTCCAAAAGACAGAAGTGGGTCAACACAGCCAACCTTTAAAATGGAAACCACACAGAAACCGCCCCCCCCCCCCAAAGAAACTGATACCCATAGAATCTAGTCAGTTGTCATAAAGCACACACATTAGCAGTGCTAGAATAGGCAGGGCTTTTCAAGAACAGAAAAAAGGTGACAGTCCTCACAACAAAATGTCTTGAAAAATGTTTAAGTACAACCACAAAGTTTATATTACAGTTGTACTTAAAATCTGATGCATAAAAAAAGGTGCAGGTACTGTGTACTGTTGAATAACGTCAGATAAGAAGCCATTTGCCATTTAATAGGAATGATAAAGTTACTCTCAAGGCAAATAGTTTAGATCAAATACATTTATCATTATGTAGCAGGTCTTTCACGGGGCTATTGCAGCCAAAGTTCATGGTGGCGCTTTGTGTCCCCAGAGCATTAACTTATCTTAGAGATTTCCCTATGGTACAAATGGCACGATTAAACAGTACGACAAGAACAAATATTTCCAAAAAAGGAATTAATACTGTAAAGCAAAATACTAATAACTATGCTTTGAAAAGCTGTAAATATGCTCACTGATATGTACCAGAATGATCTAAATACATAAAACACTAACAGAACCAGTTAAAAATATAAATATTAATTTTTTTAATAATAATAATACATTCACAGACTATACATCACAAATATAGCCCAGGTTTGAACAGGATATTGATAGAAATGATATAACTTTTTAACTGAAAACGATTAGCTGCTACTGTTCCAGCTATGCTCAGGAATTTGAGGATAAAGAAACATTCACAGTGCAGACAGACTAAACTTACCAAGGTACTGAACCTATTTGGCAAACTTGAATTAATGTTGTGATCCAGTGTCAATCTATTCCCTAAGTTCTGACAATGAGTGACTCATGCTTTGTCTGGCAAGTCTCCCATTCTAATGATCCTTCAGAATGGACACTGAAATATACAACAGTAGAAAGTATTTGTTGGGGAGCCAAGTTTTCTAACAGTAATCATTCAAACTCAAATATACATTAGGATGAAGAATTTGGCTGCTTGTACAACAGAACAACATCAAACCCACTATGCAAATATAGGAAGAAGAAATGTAATGCCATTAGCAAAATTAGCACACTTTTATGTATTTAATCAAAAAATGAAATAAGATATTCATTATTTGTTCAATTACTTTGCTGGCAACTATATACTATATTGACGCACGTTACATTATTAAAATGAAAAAGCTAAAATATTTTTCAATGCAACTGTCTCTTTTAATCAGTTGTGCGTTCTTCTTATGAGCAGGCTTTAAAGTGAACTCAAGGTTTGGGGTCAAACGGTAAATGTGACCTTTTATAGTACCTTTCACATACACTTATCCCCAACTCTGCAATTAATGAATTATGTCAAATCACAAGGTGGGCGCAACAAATACGTCACGGTGTTCAAATAAATAAGATATGCAACAATATCACTATTTCATCAAGTACATAACCGGGTCAAGTTGGTACCTGAAAAGAAAATACCAGCTACAGAGATATCTGAGCGGAATGTATGTCTTTCTTACTCAAGAAGAAAAGCTAACGGTCGACGGAGACTTCTGCTCATACAAACAACCGGAAGTGAAACGCTGAAAGAAAAGCGGAAACTAAATAAACGACATGCGCAATCACTGTGTTGATATTTGTGTCGTAGGCGTTGGTTAGTTGATGTCCTAGCCAATGGGTGTGACGGAGACAGAGGGGCCGGGCTTGCATTCCTGGAGCCTGTTGCCAAGGCAGACGGCGTCTTGTTTATGGTGGCTCCTGTCTTTGGGCAAGTTTATCACATATGACATCGCAAAATTATCCCATGTTTGGTCAATAGTAGACACAGAATACTGACAAATAACAGGTATATAATATATCTTTTGGAGACATCAGCTCAGAAATGCCAGAGGCCTGCCTGTGTTGGCACGGCTAAGTTTGCATCTTTCATTTCATCATAACTTAGACTTATGACATAAGAAACGA